GATAAGGACAGAATCCTGAAAGCAGCAAGGGAAAAAATAAGTGTAAGCAAATCAGACTAAGCTCAGATTTCTCAAGAGAAACCATGCAGGCAAGAAGGCAGTGAGGACTCTTCCTCTTATTTCTGCCCTCTTCTCTCTCTGCTCTTCTTCTTCTTCCTCTTCCTCTCTTCCCTTCTTTAGATGGGCCAAAAAGAAAAAAAAAAAAAAAAAGAAGGCAATGAGGAGACATATGTAAAACCCTGAAAGAAAAAAAAAAAACATCCAACCAAGAATCCTCTACCCAGCAAAGCTGTTGATCAAATATGACAGTGTAATAAAAACATTCCAGGATTAACAAGAGCTAAGGAATTTTGCCAAAGCCAACCCTGAGATGAAAAATTTCCTAAAGGGAGTTCTGTGGAGAACCAACAAGAATAGACAATAACCAGAGAATAACTTACATGGCAGCATCACCCAGAAGTCAATCAACAAATGGACGAGTCAAGAATAGAATAAAACTGTAAGAACAAATTCAGAGGATCTGGGAGGTCAGTCTATGATCAAAACAATTACAGTGTGAAAGAGGGTAAACACAGAGGAACAGAGATCTAGGTGGTGGGAAGGTCAGGCAAATTACAGGATAAAATTAACTGTCTTAAATGGAAGGAAAAGTTAAAGGAATACTAGGTAACCACAACAGTGGGACTTCGGGGGAGGTGGAGGGAGGCAACGGTAGATCACAGGGTAAAGGCAGACACATTATAGTTCGGGTGTTGGGGAGGGCAATGCAAGAAGAGCAAGGAACTGGAAGAACAAGGTAGATAGCGGAACACTGAGACAGGTTTGCATGGGCTAAGTGGGACAGAGGTAAATAATGATGCATGCTTAAACTCGAAACAATAGGGCTCTGTGATACAGGGATCTAGGCATAGTTTGAAGAGGGAAATTAATACTAAGATGCTTGACTATCTTGTGAATATTGGTTTCCCTTGCCTACTATTGTAAAATAGACACTTGAGTAGGATAGAAGGGAATGTCAGGAAACATGATTACAGAAAACTTGTAAGCTCATCTTCAGCCTATAACTGATTGGAAAACCTAAAAGGGATTCTAGAACTTGCCCAGTGAAACAGGCCTCTTGCGGAACCTTTGCAGAGTATAGGACCTTAGGTGGAATCCTGAGCTCCATCCAGAACCTTCTGAGGTGGGACATTCCCACTAGCAAGGATAAGCAGACCAGCCTGGAACATCTAAAGTGACAGAAGATGCATCTTCAAGAAAGATCATCAGGGAAAACCCAAAACAAAAATGGCAGTATGACTGGCTACTGCAAGAATTAGCAAGCTATTCTCCGGGAATCCATCAAGGCAAACAATCAAGTTCCTTCAGGACAAACTCACCTCTAAGACTGAAACTCAAAAGGAACACATGAGCAGGCATGTAAGCCTGCTGGTGAGCACGTTGGTCTACTGGTGAGTGGAAGAGGGGGAAAGGCAGGAATGAAGAAATGGGCTGAGCTTAACCACGGTCCATTGAGTCACGTTGACCTGGAGATGAGAGAGAGAAGAGGAAGGGCTGTTGATCCAATGTGTGGTGATACCTGGGGACACCTGAGCCCATGGACAAGGACATAGCCACAGAAGGCTAGAGCTAAGAGTGATGCATCCAGCTGATATGAAGTAAGGGAGAGACA